TTTCTTTTTTTTTTCGGACTTTTTATTTCACGTCAATTTCTCAATCGCCATTTATTTCGTTTTTTTATTTTTTTTTTTATTTCTCGATCCCGTCTATTCTGTTTTCCTCTTTTCTTTTTTTATTTCTCGATCTCGTTTATTTCGTTCTTTTCTTTTTTTTTTATTTTTCGATCTCGTTTATTTCATTTTTTTTTATTTCTCGATTCCTTCTATTCCATTCTCCTCTTTTTTTTTATTTCTCGATCTTGTTTATTTCGTTCTTTTTTTTTTATTTCTCGATCTTGTTTATTTCGTTCTTTTCTTTTTTTTTATTTCTCGATCCCGTTTATTCTGTTCTCCTCTTTTCTTTTTTTTATTTCTCAATCTCGTTTATTTCGTTCTTTTCTTTTTTTTTATTTCTCAATCCTATCTATTTTGTTCTCCTCTTTTTTTTCTTTTATTTCTCGATCTCGTTTATTTCGTTCTTTTCTTTCTTTTTTATTTTTCGATCCCATTTATTTCATTTTTTTCTTTTCTTTTTTTTATTTCTCGATCCTGTTTATTTCATTTTCTCCTCCTCTCTTTTTATTTCTCGATCCCCGTTTATTTCATTTTTTTTATTTCTCAATCCCGCCTATTTCGTCTTCCTTCTTTTTTTAATTTCTATTGTAATGGCTTTGGCTGCTCCTGTTGTTGCTTCATTCGAATGGACCATTGACGCTACAAGAGAATTAATTCGACCTCGACGCGAGAATCATGACAATTTTGAGTTCGTTCCTAACAATCGTCATGAAAGGATATGGAGAACCATATCCAACCAATTGTTTCTTAATAAAGGGTTCGCCGCTTCTCTCTTTTAATGTCGTAGAAAATGGTACTCATTAAAATATGGGTACGAAAATCTTAAGAGGTTGGAAGATGGGGAGAATCCCCACGATCAACCAATAATAAACCCAACTCTGCATGATCAAATATTTCATGCAGACTTGGGTGACGAATTTTGGCTTCGAACCGGTAATTATTTATTGAATAATAGTAATAAGAAATA